TATAAATAATTGCTTAATGGGCTTTGATTTGAATTACACAGTTACTTAAAGATCCCTCACATGTACCAGATTTATCTTGCTATTTCTTCTAATATGTCAAAATCCAAATACTGCATGTATGAATGTAGAAAAAACCCTCTTTAGGAAAGAACTGCCATTAAAGAGCCATCAAATAATACAAAAGCTGAGAGATTGGAGAGCTCTGATTCTTTGAATCATTATTTGCGTTCTGAGATATGAACTGAAAAAGTCCTCTTTCCCATCATCACCAGAAGTCTTTGGAACATTTGTGCACCTGGATAATTTAGAACATTTACTGGTTTAAAGCCCATTCTAAAAGACTTGAGTAGTTGGGTGGAACAAATGGATTCAAAACTACACCTTAATCAAATCCCTATTATGTCAGTACTCTAAACAATAATATTTCCTCAAATGGCCATTTGGGACTGGCTTTCCCTCAGAAATGAGTTTAAAACTTTTTTTTGCATAACTTGCAACTTGCGTAACTTATTAAAATTTAAAGCAAGTTTGTTTAAGGGTGTGACTGCTCTGAATGATAGGTGGGTGGTGTCACAGCAGTTACATCTTTTGCAGTATAAGTGTCAACATGTCTCTGCAGCAAACTCCTGTAGGTTTATTTTCTTTGGCAAACGAGCAGATTGTGGCTTTAAGGAGAACAGGGAGGCAGAAAGTCCACCAGGTGATTCTGTCGTTCACTTTACACGGTTGAATTTCTTCCTGATCAACAGAAGAGGGCGATCAACTCCACAAGCTTTATAGGAGACGCTTGAGGAATGGTTTTCACTGGGCCACTCCCAGGTAAGACAAACAAGAGTTACTACCCTTTGAATTAACATTTAAAATGTGGGCAGAGAATCACACTTTAGTACACACGGAGAGCATCTAAAGGGAAAAAAATGCATTTCAGCTTTTAGCACAACAGCACTAACACAGTAAAGTACAGGACTTGTGGTGCATTTACATGCAGGATTGTTTTGTCCTTTCAGATTTTCAGAAATGTAATTTTCCTGATGGTATCAAAGAGTGACTATCCTGTAGACATTTCCTGTTTAAAAACAAACAAACAATAAAACCTGGAAGGAAAAAAAATCTTTTCATTTGGTTATACACTGTTCCCGCTGAGGGAATTTAGAGTGAGGGGGTTTTTAGACTTTGGTGACATTTGTACTATGTTCCAGTGTCAGATCATCGTCATCGTCACTCAGGTCCAACCTCAGGTTATCCAGAGTCTGACGGATTGTCATGGTCTCCTTACGCCTGAGGGATACAGATGAAGCTTTATTAGTTTGCCATCAAAATTATGAGAGGGTACATAAACATATGTAAGGAGATAAAAAAACGAAATCTGCAAGGTGAGAAATCATGAAAGAAAATACAAGTGTCAAGTAGCTGTTATGCATTATGAGCTATCAACAGTCCATCTGCATGCATGCAGTACAGTTCATACTTGGTCTGCAGGTGTTGGTCAAGCAGCTGCTTCTGTAGGCGGCTGGTTGTCTCCCTCTCCTCAGTCAGCTCTCTCTGGGTGTGCCGGTACTGTGCCTCCTTCCTGCTTGCCTCCTCCTCGGCCTCATTCAGCTGGCGCTTCAGAGAGCGGATCCTCTGGGTCATCTGGAGAACAGATCACAGATTATCAGATCATCTGGTTAGTGTACACGACATAAAAACATTTGCCACTTTTGCACAGTTTGTTAATCCATTATGTGGGTCAATCAGTCAACAATTCACCATACAGATACGTCCCATTAGAAAAGGAAAAAGAGTGCGGGGGAAGTTTGTTTCTATGATTATCTTAAAAAAAAAATGTTCATAAAAGGAAATCAAATATACATCCAAATAGTGGGTGGATCCCAGAGAGCAAAAACTAGTTGATGTTAACTTAAAATACAATATAAGGTTAGTAAAAATAAAGTAGTAGAAGGATGGAAATTACTGCTGCTGATGATGATGATGATAATAATAACAATAATAATAATAATAATAATAATAATAATAATCGGTGATTTAAGAATTAGTAGTATTGAAGCTTTGGATATTTCAGCTAACGCACACTTTCCACTTGGGGGTGTCTGAGACAGAAATGCTGTTTTATAGGTTTGTACAAATGTGTGTCTGTATTACCAGGTCTTTCTGTTCAGTAGCTATCCGGTGCTCCTCCTCCATCTGATCACTCAGCTCGTTGATCTTCCTCTCCAGCTTACTGTTGGTGTTTGTCAGAGTTGCTTTGTTCCTGCGCAGAAACACACACTTGTAGTGTAACAGCAAAAAGCCATTTAACACGTGCGGGTACTCCTGCAAAGTCTGCAGGCTGTCCTCGGTCACAGAGAAGATCTTTAACTGACCTCTCCTCAACCCTCAGTGAGTTCTCCAGTTCCTTGACTCTGATCTCCGTCTTAGAGATGACATCCTCCTGTACTCTGTTGCTCCGCAGTTCCTCCACCTCCAGACGAAGCTGACGCAGCTACACAAACACACTTTATTAGTACTCAAAACACAGAAAAAAGTCTCTTTATTTACATTATTTTGTGTATAAAAATGTCTAAATACAAGGAAACCATGGCAGCTATGAGTGTTTCTTTTAGAAATGACACTAATAAGATCTGATTCGTCTTTTTGTCCACAAAGTGATGGCAAGTTTTTGTTTTATCTGTGAAATGTTCTGCTTAATTTTCACAAAATGGCAAATGAGAATGGTGCACAGAAAAAGTAAATATATTCTATTGAAATGCATATAATATAATATTGGCTTCTGAATTTAAGGCCCAAACACTTATCACATGCATAAAAAGACTAGAAATAAGCCCACACAGATTACCTGTCTTTCCATTGACACTTTCTCAACTTCCAGCTGCTCGTTCAAATCTTTCTCCTGAATCAGCTTCAGCTGCAGCTGCTCGGTCTGGAGGTCAAAACACAAAAAGAGTGTCAGTAACCAATCAAATCAGTTCTATACGAATAGTTTTCAGTTGATACGCTTCCTGTTCCCAGCACATCTACCTGATCGATGGCTCTCTTTTGCTTGGCGGCCCATCTCTGCTCGCTGTCATGCAGCTCCTCCAGATCGCTCTCTAGGTCGATTAGCTTCTCCTGAAAGTTTAAAAATAAGTAAACTTCTGATCTGAATCCCTCTCAAACAGCCTGTGAGGTCACTCTTTAAAATGTCTGACACTCGGGTTATTTTTGAAAACGGAACAGATTAAGCATCTTCAGAAATGGTGACGTGACGTATATACAGGATTATGGAATCACTGTAGCTTGCTGATTGCTAAGCGGGATTTGCATAATTAATACCCCATTAACCCCAAACTCTGATGGTTTGCATGAATGATTAACTCAAGTGGACATCTCTGTTTGACTCATTAGGTCATGCACACAAAGACACTTTGGATGTCACATGATCCAAATATGGTGAAATGTTCAGGAATTTGGTGATAGCAAAAACACAAGAAAGGACTAAAACCAACAATGGATGTGAACTTAACATGTGTGTGTAAAAGCCTGACATGCTGTATATAAAACACGCATATGGTAGTTTATCTGGAATCAGTTAGACAAACCAAATGTGTATTAATCTGCTGCTTTTCTTCATGTTGATTATTAACTACAATCACTACGATTAGCAGCTGTTTTTATTGAAGCTTTAAATGTGGGCACCACATGCAAAGTCAGGGTATTAGGGGAAAAATATCAAATTTCCCCTCACATTTCTTCCTCTTTCAGTGTTGAAAATAAAAAATTTTATGTGAAGCAGTTTGACAGCTTGAAGAAAAGTGTGCTGCTGTTGAGCAGGTAATTAGCTTTCTACCCTTGAAATGATGAATGTTTATTGACTCATTCAGCAAATTAAGGTGAAGGGCAAGACATGATGATTAGATAAAGAGTCAATGAGGCTAATGTGGGCTGTCGTCTGGCCCACACCGATAGCTGTCTATGACAGCGCCAATCTAAAAACAGTAACAGCAGGGGGTGACATTCTCTGAATATGAGTTGGGATTTTTTTTCCAAATCTGAAATTAGACAGAAACCTTCAGCTAAATGAGTTTCTGAAAACTAGAGTTGTGTAGGCCACATTTCTCTTGCAAGGATCCACAACATCCCGCCAAAGAGCATGGCACAGGCGAACGTTAATAAGGAGGCACAGTAGCAATGGCTAAAAGCTGTTGCCCCAAATTCAAGTCAATTTCCCTCCAATGACCAAATGTTTTGGACATGGATGGTAAATCAAAGCTGAAATCAAGATTATTCCTTTATGATGCTGAAGGCTGAATTTTTCAAACTTAAATTTGTGAGCATAACAATCCATGGCAGCTAGGTGGTCTCTATGGTTTTGCAGAGGTTGTGAATATCATCTTATACAAAAACCTAGAAATGTTTCTGTCTGACTGTTTCTTTGATCACATTCAATAAAGTATCTGGTGTAAAGATGCAGTGTAACCCTCTTGCCTCGCCTCAGACTATTTACTGTACCTGAGCCAGTTTGAGCTGTTTGGCCAGGTCGTCTCTGGTTTGGTTCGTGCTGTGCAGCTCCATGGTGAGGTCGTCCACAGTCCTTTCTGCCTGCTTACATTGCAGCTGAAGCCTCTCTCTCAGCTGAATCTCCTCCTCCAGCGAACGCTCTCTATCGAACAGCTTACCAGAGACCTACACGCACATACAGAAAACACACAGGTCCTGAGGCTGTGGGTACTCCAAAGGTTTCCACAGCTGTTATTCTCTATTAGGCCACTATGTCTCAAAGTACAGCTGAAGCTCAAACGCTACAACATACCTCTCCCTGCAGTTTGGTCACGAGGGTCTGCAGTTTCTGCACTTCCTGTTCCTTCTCCAGCAGGGACTCCTCCAGCTCGTCCAACCTCATCTGGGCATCCTCACGCAGCTTTTGCTGCAGGTTCATCTCTGCGTTAGCCTGAGTGGATGCTGCCATGGCCTCACCCAGCTGGAAATGGATATAAACTTATTACAGTTTAATACAGTTTGTATTTGTAGTAATAGGGAAAAAAACACATTCTCGCTACAAACATTTCTTAAAGATCTAATTGGTTAACACATTTAAATGTTTTCGCTTTAATTTAAGAGTCCTTTTCCACATGGAGGCAGAAGAAAGATTTTACTGCTCTCATAGTGCTGGAGAAATGAAGAATAATATGCTTTGTACTGCTTTTTTAATTTGATTGAAAAATCTGATGGCAATTTCAACTCCATTTAAAAAGGAAAAGAAAATTAAAAGCCTTTTCTGCACATACTTTATGTTGCTGTAAATGATGCTGCACCAGGGGGTGCAGTTTATGCTTTGGAATCACTGCTTTGGGTTGTCAGGTTTTTCAGTGATGACAATTTATGTGGTTCTTTTCAGAGAATTTCTAAATAAATCTAATTCTGAGGTGATGGCTGCTCATCGCCTCAGTGTCTACTATGTCCGTACCTCTGTCTCCAGCCTGAGGATGGTGTTGCTGAGGTCAGACAGCTTCTTGTCTTTGCTTTCTTTGTCACTCTCCACGTCTTCCAGCTGCCTCTCTGCCAGCCACAACTTCTCAGCCAGAGTCTGAGCGTGTTGCGTCTGCTTGTCCAGATTTTCCTGAAAACAAAAAACATGCATAAAGTTCAGCTTCTTTGTAAAAGAGAAAATGTGTCTCTTACTGGTCTGAATGTGCAGTAACATAGATGATCTAGTCCCTCACTGACAAATAAAACCAAGCTGGATACTGGCTAAACTGGATTATCACTGAATGTCATTAAGGATTCTTGGCATTCTGTGTGCTGTGTTATACTAAAGAGTAACACAGGGGTGTACCCCGAGTCCCCCTTCCCTGCTCTGTGACCATAGTTAGAGAAAGTTAAAAAAAATTGGTTAAAAAAATACAAAGAAATTGTAAATGACATCTTTGGATATCTGGATGAGTGGAAATCACTTTAAAGATATGGTACACCCCATAATCCAGTTTTCCTTTTTATCTATCTAGATTATTTTGGTGCGAGTTCCTCCTCAGGTTTTAATGTGATCTTTTTAAAAAAAAATTATTTTAGCTGCTTCCGTCTAACTTTGCATACCTCAGCATCCTGGATCCGATTTTTGAGCGACTGCTCAAGGAAGTTGAAGGCGTACTCCTGAGTGTTGGCCTCCACCATCACCTCTCTGGCTTGCTTCACCTCAATCTGCGTAGCACAACACAAGTGTCACCCATCCAAACATTTATACTACTACAAATCACTTCTATGCATCCTTTTATCTTAAAAAAAAAAAAAGAAAAGTCACACCTCCATCTCTCTGAACCGCTCCCCCACGGACTGATTCTCTCTCTCCATTTCTATCATCTGCTCCCTCAGCCGCTTCAGCTCGTTGTTCAGCTGTGTGTTTGTTCTCAGCAGGTCCTCGTTGTTCACCAGCAGGCCGCGCATCTCAAACCTTCACAGACAGTTTAGACAAGAACAAATTGAAATAGACTTAATATACTTAAAAAAAAAAAAAAGAAAAGAAAGAAATAACATGAGGCTAAAAGCTTAATTTTAAAGTCACAAGTACACGGCCCCCGGTTAGCTAACAGTGTGCTGACTTTGAGTACAACTACAGAAAAACCACACATGCCCGACCTGATCTGGTTCCTCTCCTTCTCCATCTCCACACTCTCTGCCTCCAGGAACTGGTTGCGCTGGAAGAGACAACACACCACATCAAAAATCTAGTTTTCTACAAACCGCCAGGAGCTAAATGTTCCTCACACAGTGGATTGTTTTGTGTCCTGTTTGGTGGTCTCCGATTCATTAATCTGATAAATCTGGTGAATCTGGTCTAAATCAGACTCATGCTGAACAGTAGTCAACAGATTTGTGACATCATGAAGAGAGGATTCATGGACTCCCACCTACTCCTCAAACCTTCTGTTTAAGAGGGGCAGCCAATCAGGAAAAAAGCCACTTAAGGGGGAAAGGAAGGGAGGGAAAGTGGCTTGCTTCAAACGGTGGATAAAGGGCTGCGCAAAGGGCCCATAACAGGATAAATAAAAGTTAAATGAGCCTAACTGGCACTCTTTGAGAGTTTTTTGGTCAGGTACCCATGCTATAAGTCTGCATTTCTCAGACATTTGTTTAATGTTAATTTGTTTTAATTTGAATCTATACTCCTTTTTTTTTTTTTCCCAGGCGACTGAATCCACAAGAAGTGAAACGGGGCTTACTCTCTGTATGGTGTCCAGCTGTTTGGTCAGTTCTGCTATGTAGTCTTTTTTATTGGGTGCTCCCAGAGTGGAAGAGCGCATGCTGTAGTGTGTGGGCACCACCTGTAGCAAGAAAAATGTACAGAAACCCATTACAAAGTGTGGAAGTCAGAGTATGTGCTACACGTGTGTGTGTGTCAGTAAACACGTACCATGTTGTTGACCTCCGTCCTCCTCCTCAGAGTGTCGTAGGTGGAGAAACGGGGGCGGGGGGAAATGAGGGTCGGCGTCTGTATGCCCACCGGACTCGTGCTGCGACTGTTATAGGTGTACAGGTTCATCTCAGAGGTGGCAGGAGACAGTTTACCCTGAACATGGAGAAAAGAGGGGAGGCGAACCGAGGAGGGTCAGTAGCCTGCTGTGACTCCACATCCTGGTCAAAACATTAATTATGCAGAAACCAATGCAAACTATTTCCTGCAACAGTTTAAAAGAAACATTTGGTTTATTGGCACTCTTTAAAAGCTTTTTGCCAAGTACACATGCTGTGAATCTGCTGTATTTTAGGAAAGAAATGTAACTTTAGTACATTTCAAGACACTGTATAAATGAAGTGGTTTCAAAATTAAAGGGGGGTCAACTTACAAACCTTTTCAGACATTCGATAAGGGGGGTTGTACTCCAAAGAGGTGGCTTGGGAGTATGGACTGTTAAACACTCTGGGGGGGCTGTCAACGACACCCATCTGTAAAAAAAAAAAAAAAAAAAGTCAAAAATGTAGAGACTTAAAGAAGACAAATAAAGCTCAAGGATCAAAATGTGAATTCAGAAGTGCAGATACAGCCACGATTGCCTTCCTCACATCAACATAAAATGAACAAAGGTGGGCGTGTGCTGTAAAGCAGCTGCGTTTATTAGACGTGTGCAGCAATCCTGTTAAAATAACAAACGTGAAGACTGAAACAAGTTTTCTATACTGGTATTCGCATTCATACCAGTAACAGATGCTACAAAAACATCCATTAATGCCACAGTACCTACAGTACTTTAACAGGATGGTAATATTCCAGGCTGTAAAATTACAAATCATTGTGTCCTTAATTATTATGCATACGATAAACAATGGTATCATTTCACATCAAAAAGAGAGGGTTAGCTTTGCACTGAGCCTCTCTTTTTGATATTTTTGCTTTTCGCGTCAGACAAACGAGGTGATTAGATTTGATTTGGTGCAGAGAGGACATGCAAGGCTGCCTTCATTGAATTCTGTGATAAACAGAACAGCCGGTATTAGACCTGTTTTTTGAGATTCATCCAGGACTGGGCACGTGTCAATGGCTGCAAAGGAAAAGATTTATTTTATTAATGCTACATAAAGGATCAAATATTAAAAATGGCAATACTGTGTGAACCTCACTCGCTTAAATGTGCACTTATTTAAATTTAAAGCAATTCAGTTTGAAACATTCAATGAGGAATCTTGACATGATCGGAATCTACTAACGGATTATAAAACTAGTTTTCTGTAAGATATTTGGATATAAATAATATGTAATAATGTAAATGTTACCTTTTTGAATTACTTTGGCTCTAAATGACTCAAACACCAAACTTTAAATGTTTTCTAGAAGTGCCTGTTTTCATTTTTCTCAGTGAAATGATCATGTCTGCTGTGAACTGGAATTAAGAATCTAAAAGCTGAGCTCTTCCAGGAGAGGGCACTGTTTAATAACTGATGCTTTTACTCTGGAAGTAAGGCGCCATCTAATTTTTCTAAAAGCGATCTTGAATCATACGCATATATACAGACAGAACACATGGTCTGAATCACCCACCCTGTCAGCCATAGTGTCCCAATCTCGTGAGGCCAAACACTCCAGGGACCCTTTGTAATGGTTCGCCCCAATCCGGGTGGTCTCCCATCGGGACATCCTGGGGCCATTCTCCCCGATTGATCCTCCGCCGCTTCCTTGACCATCTGCATCTCTGCCACTGAACCCGTTGGTCTTCAGATCGTTGTTGAGGTACAGCTGATATTTCGGGTTCTGGCTGATTATCGTTGCTTTGGGCGTGGAGGGTTCCTCCTCTGATGGGCTGTCCAGCTGCTTGTGTGAATCCAGTTCTGACTCCTGGAGGGACAGAAGGTGAAAAATGAGGAATGAAAAACCTGGATGAATCTGTCGGAGGGGGCGAAATCAGTCAGCATATAAACACGAATGCACCCAGTTAGAAAACATAAAGAACTGACGGATGAAGGATGAATTAACAGAGCATGTGATGGTGTTGTCACCAATTGACAGCAGAGAGAAAATAAATATATGGCATGGGAAGGTAAAATGACAGAGGAGATGGCAAAATGTATCATTCTGAAAGACACTATAGCAAATTGATTTGACTTCTGGGAAAAAATGTGCATAAATAGAAACAAACTTGGCTCACTGTATTAATTTTATGCAATTAACACCAAGATACTATCTTTTCTGCTATTTCATCCCGGTTCTAACTGACATTTCTTTAAAGGGAGACTTATGGTTTTCTGAGCACTAGAGGGCAAAAAGAACACAGTGCTGATATATTATTATAATGTTCCCAAACAGCTTTAGGTTTTGAATCCTTTTTTTTAAAACTCTGCTTTGCCTCCACCAACTAAAGAAAGACTTCACTATGCTCAGCAGCTCATTGTGTGTTCCCTCTGTCTGCTGTTTGGTATCAAAGATGGAGTTTACTGTACTTAACAACATGCAGCCTGAAACACAATTCTATCAAATAAATTGTTAATTACTACGTTATTATATGTTGAAATTACTTTAAAGAACATACTTGTTCTTTGATTTCTATGGTTGGCGTTGGCTTAAACACTTGCCCAGGGGTTCATTTAGATTTACTGCTATTTACCTGAAAGCCTTCCCATTTCCAAATACACATGATCAAAAGCACCTAGCTAAAAGGTAAATTTGGGCAAAAGTGAAAATATGAATTCAAGAGAAGTGCAAGCAAACTGAATGTAAACATTTAATGGGTTTTAATAGGTTTTCATGCACAAAAAAGGAAGACAATTGAAGACAAAGTTTGTTAGATCCGTCAGGGAGTTTTAGGCCATTTTGATTAGTATGCTTAAAACGTTGCTGTTTTCATGCGTTCGAGTTCGTCATGCAGTTTGAGGATGCAGATTTTTTCATGCAAGAAATGCGTTTAAGTAAACCTGCAATGCCATGCAGTCATGCCATCTTCACGCAGTGTAGCTGCAGAGCTTTTTGTTCATGCAAGGACATCAAAACTGCCGGTCAGGAGTATTTTTTTTTGTTTCGGTCTCTTACCGATCCCATTCCAGAGTCAGCCACTGAGTCTCTACCAGTGTTTGTTTGGCTTCTGGACTCAGCACCGTCCCCTGGTGGAAAATTGATTCTTGATGTTATCTGAGTAGTTCTGGAACCTTTCTGAACTGGTCCAACTCCATTCTGAATGGTTTCCTTGAAGGGTGGAGTCACATTGATGCTGGGAATAGAACTTCCATCTTGACTGGCACTGATCGGTGTGGATGGACTTGACTTTGAAGATTCCAGAGCCTCCATCGAAGCCGACTTTTGGACTCGTTCAGCTCCCATAATAGGGCTCTGTGGAGAACCGGAAGGTGAGACCTGGTGATCCGGACCTGAGAACCTAGTAATCAGGTCTTTGATGCTGCCAGCTCGTTGCACTGAATTGCGAGTCAGGCCTACTGGTCTCTTATAACTGGCTCTCTTGGATTGCTGTGACTCTTCTTTGGTGGTAGTCTGCTGAGGACTAAGTGGTGATTGTACGGAAGACGACTCGGGTGTGTGCTGAAAGAGGTGAACACAATAACAGATCCCTAAAAAAACTGTTACAGAAGTGTCTGAACACCCAGTTGATGGTGGCTTAAATGACTGGCAATATAAATTTAACACAGGTTAGACCATGTAAACCATCACTAGTTCAAGCGAGGGGTGTGGCTCTGACTGAGAACAAGTGGGCACTTGTTGCTTGACATGTAGGGCAATAAAGATAAATATAACCTGCTTGGATGATGTTTACTCGATTTATGGGTCCACATTTTACAAAATGAAAATTATGTTGTGTTAAATGGGGCTTGAAGCTACTGACTGTAACTATGAACTCAGTAGGAAAGTGTTTACCAAGGTCATATGTCAGGGGAACAGTAGACTCATTTTGTCATAGACTTGTATATAATCAGATTGATTCCCTTTTGCCCCCTGCCAGTCACTGGAAAGAATGCAGGTTTAAAGCATCATTTTTGAGACTTTAATGCTATGTTCATATAAGCAGCTGTAACAAAGTGTTACTTAGTCTAGAAAGTGGTTACAAGAAGTAGGAGAAAAACCCTCCAAAGAATGGTTAGCATCAAATACATACCATCACTTTAAGTTTATTTTTAAAGCATTATTTTAATAATGTGTTTTTCTCTCTCTGGCCCATGTCTTTACAGTGCATCGATGTTGTTGACTGATGAAATGCATACATAATGACATGAATCCCAGCGTGTGTGAACGTATGTTTGTGTGTCAGTGTGTGTGTGCGTGTGTGTGTGTGTGGGAAAGTGTGTTCCTATCCTGACATAAATCCCTCTTGAGAAACTGCAACATCTGCTCGTTCATCTGAACAACAACAACAAAAAAAGCCCTACCCTACACCCCCACCTCATATCACAACATCTGACTTTCTCACACAGAAATGTAACGGTAGATAGGTAAATAAACAAAGGGACAGCAACAGGGACTTAAATTCAAAAATCTGCTCAGCTCTTGCTTAAAAAAAAAAAAGAGAGAAGAACAGAAAATGTCAGGATTTTTCCTTTTATGCCAAAAAGCCACTTGAATAAATCCAACTTTAATTAACAATCATAACAAGAAGGATGGTGCCACTTAGAGAAATGAAGTGGCAAGCATCCAGGGGTTTAACTTTCAAGGTTCAAGGGTCCAAAGCACCGAGTGGCCTTAATCCAGGGACTCGCCTGCCCGCCTCCCCCGAGGACTGTGAGCTGAAGCTGCGGTGGGAGAGAAGCCCTGGCCTGAGAAGGAGGGAGGCTGGATGGGTGGGTGTCTGTCTAGGGTTTAGGATCACTGCTAATCACTGTGGTATTAAAATGTTTACAGGCCGTGGAGGGATTAGCTCTGAGCTGATGATTTTTAATGTTATTATTTTTGCCCTGTGAGGTGAACGTGCTCAGTGTGGACTTGCGGTGTGAGAAGACAGTGAATGCAGTGAATGTGAGAACGTGTATGCATTGCTGTGCTTGTGTCTTTATGTCCTGTATATAACATTACTATGGTGATGGCAATAATCCAGAGCACAACTTTTTATGAGCCCAATTGAGGGCATCACAGGACACATCTGTTCAATAAATACATTTGAATCTTTTAGATATACTCATAATTTACTTTCATGCTCCATATTAATTTTAAATGTTTAAAACTGTTGGGGTCGTTTTGCTAAGAATATATAGTGAGTTAAGAAAGTATTTGAATATAATTTCAGCATAAAATATAAAACACAGCAGAAGAAATCCCAAACGTGCGTAAACTGCAACTTAAAGTAGACCTTGTAATGCAAGTTCCAGTTTCACAGCTTTGGTTCACAGTTCATAATATTCTTTATCTCATACTGAGCTTTGATCAAGACCCTCAGTTCATCTGCTGTCTGAAACAAGCCGTTTTATTTGCAGTAGAAAAAAGGCTATTATATTTATTGCACATTGTGCGGAATACGTCTGTATATTTTTGGCAGATACTGAACAAATTTTAGGCATCAAAGGTTGTTTCCCAGGGGCATCAACCCATACGAGTGCTTAATGAGCTGGTCCCTCACAAAGGCACAATGCACTGCTTTTACTTTAGATTACCCAACCAAATCTATTTGGTTCATTTCAATATGGAAAACCATGAAGCTGCACACACATCCAGCTGTCCCTGGCACACTCTTCACCAGTGGCCGGGTTTTCAGTCGGTTGTAACAGTGGGAAAAAAATAAATTATTGCAGCTGAACCTGAGGTTTATTTGGGTCATAAATTTTTGTGATAAGCTGGCACCTACATGTAAAACCTACAGTATGTAAAATCAACACGGGAGCTGGAAGCTGAATTCTGCTCATGTTAGAAGACAGAGGAAAAACAAAGACAGGCAGACAGAGCTTCATTCAGGAAAACCACAAATTCCCTAAAGTCCCGGACACACACACACACACATACACACGGGTCCTCCATTCCCTGTGGCCTCACTACAGTACAGACATATGGCGCAGAGCTGTGCACTATCTGACCCAGATATAAGGCAGCAATGCACTCTGGGAAATACAGTGAATACCTTGCCGATGAGGCTTGATGCAGCAGAAGTGATCGGGGCTTTTCTCCAGAATTCAAAGTTCAGCGGACACAGAAGCTTTTCTGCTCAAGTGTATCATCAAAAAGCAGGTGCTGTGCTTTTGTGACAATGAGAGACCCTGATTACAGTAGGAGGGCTTTTGTAGTTTATTTTCAGTAAGTGGATGACTTTGAATGGATAAACAGTTTCATTTATGTAGCACCAAATCACAATAGTAGTGCCCTTAAGGTGCTTTACATTGTAAGGTAAAGACCGTACAATAATATAGAGAAAACCCCAGCAATCAAAGAGACCCTATGAGCAAGCACTTGGCGAGAGTGGGAAGGAAAAATCCCTTTTCACAGGAAGAAACCTCTTGTAAAACCAGGCTCAGGGAGGAGCAGCCATCTGTCGATGGCTCATAATAAATGGCTTCAGGTTAACACTGAATGGGTTCAAGTCCTCGAACCTACACTGATCAGCCACAACATTAAAACCATTGATCATCTCAATTCAGTGTTTTTTTGTTTTGGGGGGATCCGGATGTTTCTTTGGCATGTATCACCCAGATACTGCTGCAGACTAATAACTTCTTCTCCAGCAGGGCAATTCTCACACTACAGGAAACACATGTGAACAGCTCTACAAAGAGCCCAAGGTGATGACCTGGGCTCCAAACTCATCAGATCCCGCTCCACTCATGGAGGGTACAATACAATCCACACAGATCCAAAGCATCCACTGGACTATTAGACAACACAGGACTCCTAAACGAGTCCTGTGTCTCTGCTCTGAAAGCATCACTTCTAGTTTGAAACATGCAATTTCAGTTAAATTTATTTTGGAAGCAAAGCTGAAACTACATGAGAAATTTCTCTGGGATCAATGTCTTAGACTGGAAACACAAAGGCAGGACATTATATAACAAGTGCTCCTCTGGCCTATTACATAATCTACTGTCTAAACTTGTGGGGTGGAATCCTTTAACTTTCTCCAAGGTGTTATAAGAAGAACAATCTAATCTGGGGCTGGAAATGTTTGTGAGAGTCTACATGGATTTGTGTGATAGACAGGCCTGTTTGCTCAGAGATCACACAGAGATTCAGCTTGTGGCCATCTGCACGCCAGACAATAGAACATACAACAACTATTCAAGTTAGAAACAATAAATTTGATCAACTGTAAGGACCAAACCTGCTTCATCCTTTAAGCCTAGAGCATTTCAAACACTTCATTATTTCTGCCGGCGCCTGACAGCTTCGAGGACGAGGACGGAGATGAAGATCAACAGTGACATCGAAAACTGGGGCAAAACAAGTGGTTTGGATGAAAAGAGAGAACACTTTAAAGCTTCTCTTCTACTTTGTGTTTGTGGTGCTTTTCTACCTTCTTCCATTTTCTTTACTGGATTCTTTTGCCCTTTTTAAGTTGTGTTTTTACCCTCTTTTTGTTTGGCTTTTACTTTTTGATTTCAGTGTTGTTTTCTAACAGCTTTGTAATGCATTTTAGTTTCTTTGGGTTGTTTAAACAGTATTCTATATTTTCATGGTTCTAGGTTCCATATTTAGTTGAAATCTTTGGATTGTTTTCTGTTTTCGTTTGATGATCTTTTAAGGCTTCATTTGGTTGTTTTCTAGGGTTTTAGATTTTTAAGGTTGTTTACTAATTTTTGTAGTTTTATTCGGGTATTTTTGTTTTTTAAGTTGGCCACTTTTGCTCTTTAGCTTCTTGTGGTCATCCCAAGCCATGGGTTACTGCTGATCCTGGGTTTTGATTGTTTCCCAGCATTTTGTGGATGTTGTGTAGCATTTTTTAGGTTGTTGGGTTTTGATTTCTTCAGGTTGTTTTGTAGTTTAAATAGTTTTCTAATTTTCTAACTGGTATTGGTAGTTTCTTTTTATAAGTAAAGCAGAATGTCATCTAGTTTCTGCTCTAACGCGTCTTCTCTTCTTCTTATTACAAATCTGCTTCATTTTTATGTAATACAGTTTTTTTGAGTGGCTTTGCTGGTTTTCTAACCTCTTTTACATTTTTGGCTTACAGTATATTGGTTGTTTCATCTTTATTGGTTGATTTTTTTTAATGTAAGTACTTTTCTTTGTTCTTTTATGGGTTATATCTTAATATGAAATTTTTCACTGTACTGTATATAATTCCACTTCTCACCTTTTTCAGCACAAATGTGACTTTTACCCTCAGTGTTTGTCAAGGCTCATAACTTTCCTCAATCCCCTCCACTTTCTCCAAAGCAAGTTAAGCATACAGAGTAAAAACAAGAACGTTAGAAGAAATAAGATAAATAAATAAATAACCAATTAGTGGCTGCAGTGCTGTGTTGAACATGTACGTGTCTCGCAGAGAGCAAAACGTCAAGCCACGTTTGGCCCGAGGCAATCTGCTTAGCAATATGTTCCTCTGTTGTTGTTGTTGTTGTTGTCCCTCCCCCCACACTCCTCCCATCTCCATGGCTGCAAATAAAAGAGATTAATCAACCAACCCTTCGCCCTGTCCTCAAGGCCTGCCTGTTTTTGCACTTTGTTTAGCCGACAATTATCCTTTCAACAGCAAGATTTGTTACAAACCAGGCTGGAATCTGGTCGAACTAATCCTGGATGTCTCTTTCTTTAACGTGGGAATAGCAAACAGGAGCTCAGACATATGATCGCCGGATTTATTTACATGTTTTGAATTTGTATTATTTAGCTGAATTCTACACTGTAGGGAAAATGTACTAAAAGCCAGCATGGAGGTAAAATGCAGAATAGATTTCAATGAGTAGACTTCAAAATAATGTTTGCATGGACAAAAAGTTATAATATGATGGAACCAAGGTATAGTATTGTATAGCAAATACAATCATTTCATCCTAGATTGAACTTCACAACATGTGTTTCCACAACATTTTCCCACGAGGTTAAACTGCTGCAGAGCTTTTATCTGTTTCACACCCCAGATGCCCTCAACTGATGACTAATTGCACCTGTGTCCAGTTTTTACAGACTTTTTATTTTTTATTTTGTAGTTTGTGTGTTTTTTATAATCACTCAGAGGGGTTTTCTCTCTTTGAGTGCAGTTTGATGGAAGGGGGACACCTTTGGCTCCATCCAGCTGCTCCACAAACAAATCGTGTCTGCGCAGTCTGACAGGACTTGGACTATAAGTTATACACATTAATGCTTTTAGCATCTGTCTTTGCGGGGACTTTTAAAAGCTTAAACCTCCTTTATATCTGCACCTGCAGCTTTATGTGACACAACTACTGGTATCTCATATAGCAGAGAAAATACACACGTGGACATAGTGATTCCCACAGTGAAAAGTGGTCTAATATAAAAATCATAAATCCCAGATGGATCACTGTATCTATAAAACCTTATTTATGCTAAATCTATTAGATTTATATCTAATCAAAATTATGTGTAATTATTCAAATCCATTTTCTGACAGATTAACTACAGCTAATCTGATAAAAAGGTTCTCAGGTCACCGTGGCTCGCCTACATTAGCGGGGCTGAAGACGCCAGCCGTTTCAATCCCCACTGCCCTGCCGGTCCACTGAGACCTCCAGCACAAAACAGAAACTGCAGAGTCGTTCACTTCCCACTGTATTAGCAAATTATTTTGGGCATCAGGGTTAAAAAATAAATAAATAAATAAAATGCCACAAGCCAAATTCTGTGACATCTGTCAGCTGTAAAAATCAGTGTTACAACAAGCTGACCTATTTCCTTTTAAAGCCACATTACTAGGGACTTCAGCTGTCAGAAACCAAACTCAGTCAGAAGGTGACAGGAGCATATTTCTGTTAAACTGCAGATCACAATTTGGCACAAATAACCGTAGTTTCATAAAGCGGAAGGAATGGAGCCTCTCTAACCAACCAGAATGAGAAATGACTGTAGAGTCCCAATTATAAAGTTTAAAGTGTTTTAATTAGCAAATGAGCAGCTTTGAAAATGTAAACTAGCTTAAGGAGTTGGGATGAAGTCGGGACAGACTGCAATAAGCAAAGTTCAATCATTAACACCAAGAGTGCACAAATAAGTGAAGGGCCATGTGTTTTTTCTAATTCATGCTACAATACAGCATCGACTGGTTGATCGAACTGCTAAATATGAGCAACATTCAAATTTAAAATCAATGGAGGAAGCAGTGTAGAGCTGTGTATTAGTATTAATACTAATGATATTAGTATTAATACTAATGATATTAGTATTAATACTAATGATATTAGTATTAATACTAATGATATTAGTATTA